CGAAGCTCCGACATAGTTGTACTTGCAGGTGACCTCAACATGCAGGTTGGAAAACTGGGCGCATCAGAAGCTTGCCTAGGCGGTAGTTGTGCTCTACCCAGCCAACGAACAGATAGCGGCAATCGACTTCAGTTCTGCGCACACCATCATCTGTTCCTAGCGAGTACCAACTTCCGACACAGCTCTCGACGGACGGCAACGTGGCGCTCCAGTTCAACTGGTACGCTAACTCAACTCGACCACATAGCAGTAAGTTACCGCTGGCGTGGCTCAGTGCAAAATTGCAGGTCCTATTGGACCACCTGCGTTGAGTCTGACCATACATTAGTTCTGATGCAGTTCACTCTCCGACTGACTGGTCGGTGATAAAACCAGCGAGCTCGGATAGCTCATCAACGACTATCTGTTATTGCACTCTATGAGTCAAAGCTGGTGCGTAAGCTAAGTGCGCCTCAGCGTGGTGATGTAGACGAGCAGTGGGATCAGATTAAGGGAGATTAGGCGATTGTTGCTCGTGGGTCTGAGCCGCAAACCCGTCAGAGGCATTGGATATCTCAGGAGTCAGTAGTTTTGATGGAGGAAAACCACAAATCCCGACCTGCCAGGATCAGAATAGAGTTAGGTGGCAGCTAAAATGTCGGCTCACGAAGAGCCTCTAGAATGACCGTGAAGACTGATGGGCAACAATTGCTGGTGAAATGAAAATAACGGCTGCATCAGGGAATAATCAAAGACTTCCGACTGATACGCATTACGGGAGGTCGGCGAACTCGTTAGTGGAACAATCTGCGACAAAGGTGGACAAGCTGTTCACAACAGGGATCAACGACTCGATCGCTGGGCAGAATACTTCAGCGAACAGTTCAGCTGGCCTAGTGCTAACCAGGCTGCTTCATTTCCAACTGAAGCTCCGTGAGCAGTGTCATGCGATTCTCCAACGGAAGCAGAAGTTCGGTCTTGCATTCAAGCTCTGAAGCGNGGGGGGGGGGTAACCTCTATTACTACCCTACTGCGCAACATTTGGACACAAGAGCACATTCCGTCAACTTGGGGCGAATCACTGATCGTTCCCATTTTCAAGAAAGGATCCCCGAACGATTGCAAAAACCACCGCGGGATCAGTTTGATCCCGATCGTCACCAAAGTGCTAGCCTCGGTTATACTTCGACGTCCGACGCCTTTAAGGGAGGCCAACATCCGTGAACAGCAAGCCGAATTCCGGCCTGGTCGTGGATTTATTTATCAAAATTTACGTTGCGTCAGATCCTTGAGCTGCGTCACACCCACCGTCGGCAAACGATCTTGACCTGAAAGGAGCCTTCGACTCAGTTGACCGCAAAGCTCTGATGGGCTCCCTTCGAAAAGGAATGCCCCAGAATTACGTTAACCTACTGAGGTCACCGTACTCACATACCTCCGGTCGTGTAAGAGTTTACAGCAATCTAAGTAGGCCGTTCGTCACCAGCAGCGACGTTCGTCAATTCCGTCGTAAACGAAATACTAGAGAGCGCACAAAGGGAACTCCAAAACGTAAATGTTGAATGGGCAGCTGGAGAAAAAATGTTCGATTTATGGTACACCGATGACATCCTCTCTCTGTTCGAATGTATGGGGGACCCGCAAAGCGCACTTGATAGATTAACAAATGCAGTAGCCACGTTCGGTATGTGCTTTGCACTTTCAAAGTGCAAAGTGATGCTGCAGGACTGGGTTTCGTCTACTCCTTCTTTGAAACTAAATGGCCAGGATTTAGTTGTGGTGGATTATTTTTCCTTCTTAGGTAGTTGCGTGACCAATGACGGTAGTGCAGTAAAAGAGAGTACCGCCCGTATTTCCGAGGCTCGAGCAGCATACTCAGGACTGAAACACCTTTGGCGTAGATGCGACGTTTCGCTGAAATTGAAAGGTCGTGTATATTTTGCCACCGTTGGTTCAGTCCTGCTTTATGGTTGTGAAATCCTGAATTTATGAGTAGAAGATATCCATCGACTGGAAGTTTTCGATTATCGGTGTTTACGTAGGTTAGCCCATGTTGGATGGAGCGAACGGGTTACTAAAGTGGTAGTAAGCCGTTGTGTTTGGGAGTCTGCCAGGTATAAACCTGCTGGCACACCGAATTCAGGTTAGTGGACTTCGCTGGCCAGGGCACGTATAGCGTATGCCCAGCTGTCGTCTGCCTCACGGCGCTTTATTCGCTGTAGCTAATTCGGGCTGGAGGAAACCGCTTGGAGGTCAATCGATGACGTGGAGAAGAGGCTTGGAGAAATGCACAGAGCCATTAGGTAGAGTAGGTGTCTCTCGCCTTCCAGGTTGGGGTCCGAAAGACTACAACTGGTTGGTTGGAGACATTGAAGGATATGGCAGCGAACCGACAGCAGTGGCGTTCTTGTTGTCGTTTCTTATCAGGTCAAAATGCTTGAAAGGTATGTATACGGAGTTCGATTGCGTACTCTGTGATGACCATAGAGGTTCACCTTCTTCCCCCTCCCTTAAAATCGGTCCTATCCTTGTTGACCTTAAATTTTACGACTAACCTTGTATGTATTGCGAGTTTGGCAGCGATCAGTGGAATTCGCCTCAGTATATTTCGCTGTACGATGATGATTTTCTTTTATAAAGATTATTGTACTATGGTTTGTTTGGTACAGTCTGGCGTCAGACGTGTAAATATGTATGTGCAGATAATGGCGATGACGGTATATAACCTCATCCTCAAGGAGGTGTGCTCTAGATTGATCTCACTGAGGGTCATAAATGGTTCAGATGATCAAACAAAAGCAATTAAGTCGGATCCTAAAATTGCGTTGCAGGTTACTTTTGTGTTTCGTCACTTATTGCTGTTATGCGATATCAACTACAGTATAAAAAACCATGTGGTAGAGAAAGTATACTGTAACGGTAGAGCAGAGAAACATTCATATAAGATCCAGCTTATTGCTTCTGTGTCAAAGGCCGTCAGTGAATAAAAATGTGGAAAGTGTGCACTTCACAGTCTAGCAGTCCGGGAAAAAATTGAAATAGAGATGTACGATATGTATTGACTGAGATCTATGAGGTCTGATGTGTACCTTGGAGTACAATCTCGGTCAAATTGGGAACAGTTATGGAAAAGACTGAAGTGAAATAACAATTGTTCCAAGGAAAAGAATCTAGGCAATCACGAAAACAGTCAAGGATTATTTAGTCAGTTTCCAAAGTAATAAAGCAGGTCTTACAGGCGTTCCTAATTGTTTCAACATATTAGGACTATTATTAGGTATGAGTATATCCACCAGACATTATTTTTACGGTGATGTCTATAGTGTGCTGATTATCAGTGTCGCCCTTCCAACGAAACCTGGATTAATAACAATTTGATTTTTTTCCAGAAAGATTAAGCGCTTGTGATTCCGAGTTTCTCCCTTCAGAATGCCGCCGTCCGATTCTACACAAGTAAGCCACAGTTCATTCGCGTACTCTCAGTTTTATCAATGTTTTAAATTGTATTTTTATCGGGCTGCTTTCTCTGGCTTAAACCGTCTGGCAGTATTCCATCGATGAGAAAATCATGAATCAATAACTTTTTAAGTATTGTTCTACCGTGATTTGATTGAGATTCCTCAAGTTTGTGGTATACAGTAGTTCCATCTAGTATATCGCTCGTAAAGTTAAAAAAGTAAAGTGATCTGCTTCGAAGTCACTAGCCTAGTCGTAATCATTATAAGCGATTTTGATTCTCCCAAACGGATGTTTTAATCCTTGGATTTGTGACTAGGATACTTCCACCATATTCATCATAATTATTTTATGATGGTGGGAAAACTCCCGCCACGAGAAGGCCTGGGCTGAATAATCTGTTTATGCGTGCACACTTGAATAAAATCAGTGTTTCTGTTAATCGATTTTCCTGGAATTAACTTGGTTACAGTCTTATATATGAAACTGGAACTTTCTAAAGTTGAATTTAATCTTTCCGAGTATTATTGAAGCAAGATTTATGGATTTCACTTTGATTTTATAATTTTGGAGGTAGGAATTCTCCATTCAGCTGTGTTTGCTGGAGTAGTGTTCACGGACTCAATAGCTGATGTTACATTTTCCAGTTCCTTAGCAAAATAAGTCCTAATGTCGTGGGTCTAAGCTTTTTGTGAAGATTTTTTCTGACAAAAGAGTAAACAAGAAGAGGTTTGTCTACGAAATTAGCTCGTTATAGATGGGTCATGTTACCATGATCTCTGTCTAGTACTTCGTCATTTGTTATCTATTTTACACTGCCTTGCGGCCCAGGCTTTGATAACCGAAGGCTCCGGTTATGAATTCCCCAAGAAAATCCACCTGTTTTCCCCTGAGTAACCGGTAATATCGCGGTCTTGAACAACTCATGGAACTTTCTCTTCTATCGTGATTTGTGTGGCACATGTATAAATATGCACACATTTATATGTATGAACATAACTTATTTTTCCCATTGGGTTTGAAAACGTGGTCGATCTATAGTCATTTTAGTGAGGTTATTTTCGTTGTTTACTTAATCCACAGACAACAGGAGCGTCATCCATGGTCGCTTCTGGAGATACGTCGGCATCTGCCTCAGAATCTACCTCTGGTGCCCAGACTCCCCAGATAAACAAATGGGGTATGCTCAAAGCATTTGCTTTCCGTCTGCTGATCACCTATTTCGTATTCAGTTTGTTCCGTCGTCAACCGGCTCAACCGCCCCCAGGTGCTCCTGGTACCTCTTCCGCCCCCCGTGCTTTACCATCCGTTAATATGTTCGCCCGAGGAACGCAAATAGAACTTTTCACCTACTTGAGCGAGCACCAGTACTTTGATGAGTTTGACGATTCACGGCGCTTATTTTGGCATCAGCCGGATCTGGTCTACGGCGATTGGACCGGTGGTCCTCACGGAGACGGGTCATTCACCAAGCAGGGTGTAATTGATTGCAAACAGGTGAGTAGCCTTCAACATTTAGGATGAATGAATGTATGCGTCTTGCAAATACCTGAATAGTGGTGCTCGTGCGTCTAATCATGTTCGCTGTAGGAATATTTAAATGGACTTGACTCGCGGGACCTTGAATTTGTGTTTTGAAAGATATATAGTTTGGGGTTTTTCCATCAGAGATGTTCACTTTACGTTCCCAGATCACCCAGGACGAGAGGAAGAACAAGGGTGTTCTGATCGTCAGATCCTTGTTTGTTCGAATGAATCGTGGGCATGCGTCACGCACCAAACCACATGCCAAGAGAGATCATTAAAACTGTAGTATGTTTCGATCAGGGAGAAGACTGGACGGATTCGGACGAAATTATATTGGTGCAAAACGTAGCAACACTATAGGAATACGAAGTGGTTACAATACAAAACGTGTGGGTGCTGTTTTGGTCTTCGTTCTCAGTGTCTTGTATCACTGTGCTGGGCGTCTCGCAACTTGTACAGCCTGTAAAACAAAAGGAGAAAAGGTGGTTGTCAACGATAGTTCGACATTCAATTACAGGACGCCAGTCAGTTTCGGTTTCACATTACACTATCCCCTTCTCCCCAAATCGTCGTCCTCGACGTCCTGGCGATTCCTCCCTCAATCGGTACCTCTACTTTGACGGCAACATCTGACGGGCTCAGTTGTTTTCTCTGTTATTTGTCTCCGGTGTGGTGTATCGTAGATATGGTTTGAGTTGATTAAAGTGTGCCGCAACGGGTGGCTGTGTCGATCCAACTTCCCGAATGACTGTTTGTTTCTGATAGTACTCATTCTACCACAAAGGGTCCTCGCCATTCTTTATACAGTTCCGCTGGTACTCCCGGAGTTGTCTGTCTTGTGAAGCCATACCCGGTCACCTGCTCGTAATGGGGCTGCAAAGCACCTAAAATAATCCTTCTGGTATCTCTACGATGCTTCGAGGTGGGTGCGGGCTATCTGGTTCGCTGTTCTTTATGAGTCGATCATCTTCGATGCGTACTCTGTGACCATCACTGGCTGGCGGCCGATCGTTGGTAGTCGGTTGTTGCTCGGAAGTCTTATTTCTCTGCCAGTCCACAAGAAATGTGATGTCTGGCCCGTGGATCGTTGGATCGTGCTATTGTACGCTAGAAGGCAGCTTGGCAGTACGCGGT